GTTTTATTCCTGCCAGATAGTGGTATATTGGGGAGAGAGAGCTCACTTAAGTATGATTTAAATCTGTCCCATACCGTTTGAATATCGTCACTTTCCGGCGAAGAATTCGAGTTCAAGTCGAGACGCAGTTCCAGTACTCTGTCAGTGGTAATTTCAACATGCTCTACTGGAGAGGGGTGACAGGGAATATCCTCAACAACTGATGGTGTCTCCGTCATATACACAGAGGAATATTTCGAAGCCAGTAGACAAGCTTTCACCATGTCATCATGAAGCATGGTGTCCTCTTTGCTTGAATACAGTGCGGGTATGCCGTTGCCAGCTTTAGTGCTTCTTTTTATGTATGTGAAAAGCTTTTTCGGATTAGTCACAGATTGCTCGGCCAGGTGCTGCTCATATAATTCTCATCTTTTGCGCTTTCTCAGGGTGCATAAATTTCTAACCTCTTTGTAATGAGCGCAATCTTGCGCCGTCTGAGTGAACTTGAACCAGTCCCAAAATTTTCGCCTTCTCAGCACCAGCGATTTGATTTCCCGATCTATCCATAGGTGCCCTCTGGAGAAAATTTTTTTGTGACCCTTGGAACAACCCGATCAATGATAAACATCATCTTGGAACACAAAAGGTCCCAAGCAGCATCGAGATCCAACTGATGAGGGATATTCCATTCCCTCAGGCTAGCAGCCAATTTTAAGCGGAGGGGGTCAGCAAGCCACAAATTTCGGCGGTGCACTCTTTGGACATTGATAGCTAACTGTCGTGTCCACAAAAAGGAGACTACACAGTGATCACTTTTGCCAAGAGGCTGAAGAATGGCTAGAGCGGAAGCATCTGATGAGCCAGGTGTGAGGACAAGGTCAAAGATATGTGGCACATGGCCTGGAAAAAACGGGTAGGTGATAAAACCTGTTGCGTTAGATTACATTCGAGGACTATTTCTAATAAACATGTATCAAGAGAATCTGGAGATAAATTACAATGAAGCTCATCCCAGTCTACGGCAGGAGCATTGAAGTCAACCAAAACTAAACAATCTTTGCCTCCCCTGTGTATCATCGTAGAGCCTAGCAGATGGGATCCTGACCCCAAGGGGAATCTGTAGATAACGCCGACTATGAGCGGTCTGAACCCATCGTGAACCCTACTCCAAAGAATTTCCGATCTTCCACCGAGATCACACATGGGCGCGATTCCCTGAATTCGCTCCGCTGCCTTGCGGACAGGCTATTCAGCCAAAGGCTCGGGGTGGTGTCCCCTAAGTCAACACCCTACTTCGGCTTGGGCAACCGGGTAGTATTTCGCCCTCTGACGAAACCGTGGACATTGTTGTGTTGTGTTTTCTTTTACTATTTCTGTACCTTGTTTTGAGTTCCATGGTTTCCGATGGTGCAATGTCTATTCATAGACTGTTGCAGATATATATATATATATATATATATATATATATATATATATATATATATATATATATATATATATATATATATATATATACATGGCTTCTACTGTGTGAACTTTAATGTCTGACTTCCAGTAAAGTGTAACACCGCTCCCGGATCTCCCTCCTAGACGATCCGCATGGGATAGTTGATACCCTGGAATAAATACCTCCGTGTCCGAAATATCTGAGGATAGCCAAGTCTCCGTAAAAGCCATCAGATCGGGTTCTTGCTCCGAGGTCAAGAGCAGTATCTCATCCAATTGGTTTCTCAAACTACGCACGTTCGCCGATATCACACGCAATCCACTCCTGAGTCTTAGTGCACCGGATGAAGGAAAATTGGTCTCCACCGAGTCCTCGGGATTCTGTTTACTACTCGAAAATCCACAATGTGAAGGTCGCTTTCACCAGCTGCTCGTCGGATTCGTAGTTCATCAACGACCTGCTTCATTTTAACTCGGTCTTCTGGGGAGATGTCTCTCAAAACATAGAACGTTTCTCCTTTCAAACGTGAGGTTCGCTGGAGGATACAGCGGCATTCCTCTTCATCTTGACAATCATCCTGCTTCCTGCCGAGGCGAAAAGCGGAAACGAAGTTTATGCCCTTTTCTCCAGCATGGAACAGTAACGAAACCATCCGCCTCAGAAACGCTTGGTCCTCCAATATCCTTTCATCCGAGGATTCTTTATTAGACTCACGGGGTGTTTACGATGATCAGACATCGTTCCCTCTCGGGAAATCGGCTTTTTTCACTTTGATGCGGCTTTTGCAGATCATATTTTCCAATTGATTTACTTTATCGATAACATGTTTTAACTGTGGCTGAGAAGAGTTCGAATTAGACCTAGATTTTGCAGCCTTCGTCTTCCGATTATTTTGCAGTCTCTGGAATCAGGGGACCGGAGTTACGCTGCTGCCCGCTGCCACTGCATAAGTCCTTTCCTTCCGTGCAGGTGTCAGAGAACATGAAATACTGAATGTTGGGGTGGCATGAATGGCGATCAAAAAGTGATCTAATTCATCATGCCACCAGTCTAAGTGTTTCCATAGCGAATGTACAACTTAGAGAAAACCTAAGAGATATGGGGCCAAGAGAAGATATATTGCGGTGCATAATGTCTGGTTTAGGAGATCGTCACTCAACTAACGGTGCGCAAAGTATTTGACTCAGCAACTTCATATCAAACTAGTTTTGTCCATTCTTCGTAATGGCTTAGCTTGGAACTATGTATGCTTCCAATAACGGTGCCATCCCGATGCTAACCTCCACTACGAGGATTGGGGCTAGTGGGTTTCCCCTATATTAATACACAGCGCCCGGGTAGGCAAATAGGTGGGGGATTAAAAGGAGTAGATTTGCGTCGAATAATACCAATGGGTTCAGTTCGACTCTGATTAGAGCAGTTAAGTGATGAACTCCAAGGACTATCGGCACTTTTGTGCGCCTTTTCGAGTCCCAGTTGCGAAAAATATCGCAAAACATGAGTTTGCTAAGTTTGGTCCACTTACACGCAGCCGCAGGACAAACTATTTAAGGGGTAGTAATAGTTATGAAGATAAAGGTAAGGAAGGGGTGGCAAAGTTATGGTTGTGGTGTATAATCCGTCAACTCAGAAAGACTCGCCATTGCGCTCAGTAACATTTATAGCAAAACAGAATACTAGATGAGAAAGTGTGGGTCAAAACTAGGTCGATAAGAGATCTATGACTTAGCAAATACCGTGGCCGGTTAAATATGGTTGAATTGTGTAGTTGAACGCAGTTTTTCACCAGTGTATTCAGATCAGCTTCATCTTTAACAGTGACCTAGATTAGAGTCGCAAATTTAACGGGACGTTTGGTGATCCTCTTAAACCGTACATAGTAGCAAAGCCGTTGACCGCGATTAATGCTCGTTTGAAAGCAACCACCGAGATGGCAACTGGAATCTTGAACACCAAAGTCCTGTACCTTCCATTACCCAAACCAGCACTGGGTTCCATTGAGCTTCTAGGTGGATTAGCTTCCTTGCGGTTTTGTCTTGGCCTAGGTCGATAATGGGCGGCTGTGTTAGTACTAGGAGTTCTCGTCTCAGGCGTACTATTTACTGGGTTGGTACGTGAGATCTTTTTGCAATTAGAGCAGGCTTCGTTTCATTACGTTTTGGCGGTCCGAAATACAGCTGTTTTACCTTGGTTGCATTGCGCAGTCCTTTTTAACGTGATCCTACTAATCGTGATACTGCTTCGTCATTCGTACTCAGATTAATTTCAGCCGGGCAGTTGAAGTATGGTTTGTATAGCCGCTGTACCTAAAACGAATTTTCTGCAATTTCGTTAACTGCTGCGATCGCGCGCTTGAACTCATCTATCAATCTTCCACCAAGAACATTAAAGATAGGGATGCTGCACATCCCTTAACCGCGATCCGGCGGCAAGTTGCCTGTTAAGGTGGCAACCGATGTTGTTTTCAACTTAGATCTAGGCAACCTAACGATTTCGGGTTAGCTTCTCAGCCTTGTCCCTGCGCGTTGACGTTTTGCTTTAACTGTCACTGCATTGTTAGATGCGAAATTGTTCAAGTGGCTACGTGTCACCTCGCCCTGAAACTTGGGTATGGTGGACAAACACAAAGTGAAATGGGGTCTGTTGTTCTGGTAAGCCGTCCCAAGAGTTGTAGGCTAGCGTAACCGACTTCGTTTCAATTGTCCGAAGTATAACTTGCTCAGCAGGGTAGCTTTCCGCAGCCCTTCACAATTAGTCATAATAGTGCATAGAATTGACACTGCTTTAGCACTTAATCTGATTGGTGCCAAAATTATACTTCTTCGTTTGCTCATACGCCGAAGCTCTAGCAACTTTTCTACTATTCCATTAACTTCAATGCTCGCTCGGCTGAACATCCTTAATGAGCTCTCAACAAAAACGTTGAACTTAATGCTTCTGAACGTTACGCTTCCCTTTACCTAGTTAGAATGCAGTGATAGTTCCACCTTGGTTATTTCTGTCGTGGGTTGGAAATGCGTGTCCCTACCTAGCGAGCAATGTAGTGTAATCAACTCACAAGGTCGTTTTTATGGAGGAGCCAGAGTGTATCGACTCCGGACGGGGGACGAGCTAGCCTCTCCTAGGCCGAGTTTGAGTACTTCGGTTGTCAATGTGCAGCTAGCTGCGTTTGCAATGCGCGAAGATGGCGTCTCTACGAATTGTTGTCCTAGTCCATTGAGACAATTTGTATAATCGATTCGGCTCTTGGTGATTGCGCTACAGGCCCCGATTTTCTCATCTAGGAATCTACTTGTCTCCCCGAGGCTCTTGGCATCCTGGAGCTTCATAGTCACCGGGTCAAGCCTTTTTGTTATCGAACAATGCTTTTGGTTTTGCATCATTTGCATGATCTCATCTAGACCTCCATCGTCTGAGTTATCTAAATCAATGGTGTGGGGGCAATCGGGGTGATAACAGCCTGCGGAGAGTCAATCGTTTTTTTCTTGGCTTTGCTTCTAAAGTGCATTAGACGCGGCTAGTTTGTCGTGGCGGCGTTGCATAGTAGTCTTTGCAGTCACTAAATTTAATTGGACAAACGTTATGCGGGACCAGATGGCGTTTTGGTAAGCCAAAGATTTGCGGGCCGAATGCTCTGTATCAATTTTGCATAGCAGACATTGGTTTCTAATGTCACTTGTCTTCAGTTTGGTGTAACTTAATAGATTAAGTTCCAGGCCGCCTATCTTTATCAACATCTTCCTAATCGTGTGGACTTTGAGGCGGTCTGGCACAGTATGAACGACTACCTCTGTTAAGCATTCTATCCATCCCAGGAGCTCGGCATTAATTACATTGAGGAATCTTCCGGAAATTTCTGCATAAGTATCCCATTACGTTTCCGATTTAAACCAGGCTTGAAATAGCCATGGAACACTCCGCGAGTGACTGTAACATGTTATAGGTCATTTTCATCTTCGCTAACTCTTCTTACTGTTCAGCTCTTTCTAATCGCATAGAAGCAAGTACGTCCACCACCTTAAGGGAGCATGGCACTGTCCTGCCAATTACCGTTTTGCCTGCTTTTTGGCTTGTTTTACTTAAATTACTGTAAATCTATTTTGCTTCCTCTTTACCACGCTCATTTTCAGGCGAAGAGGCGAGGCAGGCCTAAAGAAGAGTAATATTAAAGAAGGGGGTAACAAACAAATTGGGGTCAACGATCGGGCCCAGGCAATTATGGATGTTCAGCAAGCTGCAATATATCAGGATAGCATGAAAGATTTTGTAGTGGTCGAAATGCATGCTGTACGAGGATTACAAGCATGTACAACTCCCACAAAGTTACACCAAGTCGAGAGCGAAACAAACCAACCTGTCGTTTTGACCATAAGAGAAGAGTCGGTGTATGAATGCAGATCTGTTAAGTGTGGAGAGTTATGCGGTCAAATCGTGTGAATAACGAAATTGAGGGCAATATAAAGGGAACCACTGGGTGAAAAGCGTTGTCGGAAGAGCGTTTTGAATGATTATAATCCAACAGTGTGTTAGAAGAAATACTGTAAAAATATTTTCATATGTTAGGTGCCATAACCTCCAAATGTGTATAGATAATGAAATGTAATTATCATGTAATTACATCGTCATCTGAGGATAGTGCACAGGAAAACATTCCGAAGATGCTGACCGTCTCGGCTGCCACTGGACTAGCCCCGTTCTGACGAAGGGTTGGTAACTGCTTAATGCGATACAAGGTCAACGGCCCCTGCTCTCCCGAGACAAAAGAAGAAGCGGACTAGATCTACCTGTAAAACTTCGCAGGGGCTTGAAGACCCAGAAACTAGTAAGATGCCAGCAATAGAGCGGAAAACCTACGCTACCGTTGCTTTGACTTCGTTTGCGGAGACAGGTACAATTCCACCGCCAGTGATGAAAATAGCTGGTATAGGTGTCGAATCCAAGAGTTAACACTCTGCGTCGTGCCGACTCTTTCACGGATAGTAGCGTTATGTTCCGTAACGTTACTGAATCTGCGGCTACTCTCCCAAGGGAACGCATCGTGGATGTCCTCAAGTGGCTGAAACTGTGTGGCAGCAAGCTGCTTCCACCTGGCTTCCCTGGTGTCACTGTCAGAAAACTGACCAGATTGGGGAACTTCCCTATCGCTGCGCCAAATCCACGATCCCGACTACCTGTGGTCCTTTCTACCCCGGAGGAACGCAAATCATTACTGCGGTTTGCATTCAAACTTAAGTGTAGTGGTGTCAGCCTTCAGCCGGACCTTCCACTGGTAGATAGAAGTCAAAGGAGGCTATCAAAGACCTCAAAACTAGACGGGCGGCTGGCGAGCAAGGTCTCCTGGTGGGTTTTCAGGTGGTCAGCCGGAAGTTATTTTTCGCCCTATCAGAACCCATCCTGATGGCGCACGACCTAGGGACGGTCGTGCCGACTTCCTTGAGGTAGTACTTAGCAATGTGCGTAGGCTAAAGAACAAGGTGCACGAATTGGATCTACTTGTAGACAAATCTCGTCCCGACATACTAGCTTTCAGTGAAACGTGGTTGTCTCCGGATACCACGGCGGTGAGGCATGTTTACCTGGATACGCGCTGCTTAGAACTGATCGCTCTCTGTCGCCAAATCGGAGGCGTTGTACCGTATGTGAGCGGTAACTACGATGTGTTGAGGACATGCACATTCCAGTCGTCGGATCAGACTGTTGAAGCCCTATCGGCTGTTTTGTGCACGTCCTCTACACAGTTTACAGTTGTAATGATATACAGGATTCCTTGAAGTTCTTCCAGGTGGATACTTGACTTTATTCGCACTGAGTCCGCGAATAAGTTTTAGTCCTAGGAGATTTCAACCTCACGGAAGTTCGTTGGGCCGATCTTTCTTGCAATTCGGCATCAGGAACATTCGGTGCAGACTTTCATGAGCTGACTCTCCAAGTGCCTTTGCACCAGTTCGTAGAATTCTTCACTAGGTATATGGACAACCAAATACCATCTACTTTAGATTTGGTTTTCGCTAAGTCCCTGGGCTTCGTGGCTGACGTTTCATACTGTGCACCTCTAGGGTCCAGCGATCGCGTATGCATATCCTTTCGATGTGCTCTTTCAAGGTGCCAAGAGACCGCTGTTGAGTTACTTCCGAATATTTGGCGGGCGGACTTTAGTGCAATGCGAGCTAAGGCTTCAGTTTTGAACTGTGAGATATCGATGGCTGACTCTGTCCAGTTAGCCTGGGATAAATTTAAGGCATACCTTAGAAAGGTTTCCACTCCCTGTATTCCACTCATGAGGAAAAGAGGGTTAAGGGCACAGCCTCCATGGGTAGATACCACAGGAAAGTACCTACACTAGAAACGGTCTAGATGCTGGCGAACCTACCAAGCAGCTCCATCGGCCAGTACCTATGATAGTTATCGAGAGATTAGAAATAAATGAAAGCAACAGCTCAGAATTGTTCATCTCCAGTATGAGCACGGATTAGCGGACTCGGCCGCGGCTAATCCTAAGAAGTATTTTGCTTACGTTAAAAGTCGCAGCGGGGCAAAACTGCATATACTAGCATTATTGTAAGCAGACGGGACCCGTGCGCAAACTGACTATGACAAGGCTTATATACTTGGTGATAAGTATACTGGGGTCTTTGCCTGGTTGACATCTTTTCCACAGGTTGAATTGGTTTCAAGTGTTCCAGAGGATATTTACTTAGTTAAGTTTAACATATCGGAAGCTCAGGTCTTCGAGCTACTGCAAGGCATTAATCCCTTTAAAGATTCCGGTCCTGATTCAATTCATCCGAACTTGTTGCATGAATCGGCTACTGAGCTGAGTGGTCCTCTTACATGCGTGTTTTCAATATCGCTTGACAGCTGCATCCTACCTTCGGAATGGAAGGAGGCAATTATCTGTCCGATTTTTAAAGGCGGTGACAGCGCTCTGCCCGCGAAGTACAGGCCTGTCAGTTTGACAACCGTAGTAGTCAAGTTGTTTGAAAAGCTGATATGTGATTCAGTGGAGAACCACCTGAATAGCTTCAAGCTTCTCTGTGGTGCGCAACATGGATTCCGCAAAGTATTTTCATGTCAGACCAATCTACTTGTAGCTTGTGAGAGTTGGGCCCAAGCGGTAGACAGTGGCCACGCTGTGGACGTGCTATTCGTGGACTTTTCGTAAGCGTTTGACACTTTTCCTCATTTTCGACTCTCACTAAGGTTGAGGTGTTACCGTATATCTGGTCGCGCCCTTTAATGGGCGCCTGCCTCTTTTGAGGGGAAGGGAACAGTGCGGAAGGTGGGCGTAGCCTTTCGCTCAGGCAACCTGTCCTTAGTGGCGTCCTGCAGGGCTCAGTATTGGGGCCATTGTTGTTCGCGATCTATGTAAATGACTTGCTGGGGGAGCTAGGGGTGTCATCACTAATGTTAGCTGACGACCTTAAGCTCTGGAATATTGTGGATATCCCGGGGGGGTCCTGAGGCAATTCAGCATGCCATGGATAGGCTCTGGGAATGGTCTACCTTATGGTTGATGCCCATAAATAGGACCAATTGCTCTGTTCTCTGAATCGGAGCTGCTAATCCTCCCACCCGATATGTTGTCGGCGGTGGTGAACTCCCTGTTGTCACACAGCAGGTTGATTTAGGAGTCGTACACGCATCAGCACTTCATTCTGGAGACAACTGGAAGAAGGCTGCTTGTCGAGGGTTTCGTATGATGTGGTTTATCCACCGCTCTTTCGGAATCTTAACGGCCAATTTGTTTGTGAAGCTATTTTCGGCATTCGTCCGATCCCATCTGTATCCAGGCTTGTCCACCATGACTTAACCGAGACAAAATGGACTTGGAGAGGGGGTTGCGAGTAAGCACTCGGTTAGTGGTGGATCTAAGGCTACGGGCGTATCCTGAACGCTTGCTCAGTTTGGGGATGTACTCAATGCACTACCGAAGGATAAGAGGGGACCTGATTCTCACTTATCGTATTTTGACGGGTAAGATTGGCCCGGACTTGTCAGGGCTATTTAGTCCCGCTACGTTACCGAATCTCCGCGGTCACCCACTGAAACTGCATAAACCACGGTCTGATAGGATTAGGACGGAAACTCGTCTGTTGCGCCGAGTTATAGGTCGCTGGAATTCGCTTCCGGATCACGTGTTTAGGGAACCTACGGTTAAGGGTTTTGCGCGGCAGGTCGATGCTCTTGGGTGGCAACAGCAAACTTTTCCTTTTTCCTAGCTGACTCACCTACACTTTTCAGTTCTTTTTTAATGACTCAAATATCTTGGTATTCTACTTGCTTAGCTCTTTCCACTTTCTCTTTTGCCTCCTGAGTTTAGTTTTTTCTCTTTTTTACTTCACGTAACCGGCCCAGCAGGGACTGCTAGGGCAGGATACGTGGGCATTAATTGGTTGGACAGGGTGTGATGCGGTCTTTGTTTTAGGTCCATCAGTATTTCGAATTCCGCCAACTCTGGTTCAACGACCAGCTGCAGAAGGAACACTCACTGGATTATCTTATCTTTCCAGTCCCGCTTGAACTTGCACTTGTTTAGACTTGACATAAGCTGTGATATTCGTGTTAAGCTGTCCATCAGGGGGCATAGTCTCTTGTGTGAGAGCAT